TTTAGCAGCCGGGCAGCCGACGTGCGTGTAGATGTCGTATGGGTATTTGGATGCTAATAAAAAAATAAATTATAGAATGCGTCAGTAAATCGTGAGACGAATTTATCAAGTCTAATTAATTCATCATTAGCATATATGTTACTGTAGCACCACATTATCAAATCATGAATTAATTAGGCTTAAAAGATTGATCTCGTAAAATAGTCACAATCTATATAATTAGTTATTTTTTAAGTCTATATTTAATACTTTACGCATGTATCGAACATTAGGATAATGTAAAGTTTTATGGAGAATCTAAACAAGGCCACGCATCAGGCCATGGCCATTCCAATGTCGTCCATCATCGACGCACACGCACACGCACACACAGGAGCCAAGACATGACGGCGCGACCGCGATCCTCGTTCACTCGTACTGAGGGGCGCTTACGATTGGCCGGCGCAAGGAAATCATCCGTCGTCCAGGACCGACGTGTTGTCATGTCACGTACTACTCCTACGGCAGACCAGGCGTGCATGCGCACACGCCTTCGTGTCTGCTAATGTCATGTCCCCGACCCGCCATTACTTGTAACCTCGGTCCTAAAATAAGTGTCGGCGTCGTGTACGTACGGTAGGTTTAACTTGATTTATAAAAAATACGTGTAATATTTATATTTCTAAATAAATTTATTAAAAAACTATAATTAAAGATCTTTCTAATGATATTAACTATGTACCATAAATACTAATATATTTTAATATATATTTAATCAAACTTGTTTTTTGAAAAACAAAAATGATAGATATTTAGGGACAAAGGAGTACATTATTTATTATGCTATCTTAATACTATCTTTCACCGATATGATCGGCCAGATAATATAATAAAACCGGAGTTGAGAGCACGGCAGTGCAAAGCGGAGGAGCGAGGAGGTCCGTCGCTGGCACAGGCACACTGACTGGCGGCGGGCCCCACGGCCCCGTGTCCCCCACTCCCTCCCCCACCCGTGCGCAGGCCGGCCTGCCAACGTTGACCTGTCAGGGCCCGCCAGCCGGGGCCCACTGCCAGTGCCAGTCGCGTCGCCACGGCGGAGTTGTCGCTGCCTCCTCGTGCTGCTCTGTGCTACCCGTTACGCTATCCTCAAATGCATTGGCTTCCGGATCCAATGCGCCTCTGTTTCCTGTGGTGTTGGACACGGAAGTACTCCTGCGGCGGCGGCCGTATCTCATCACAACGTTTTTTTCGTCTACCGGGAATCCGGTACAACGATACTCCATGATACTAGCCGCCGTTTGAAGCAAACTGCTAGAGAGCAAAACGTCCAAGTGTCGTAGGAAAAAAATGTGAAACAACTTGTGCCAGCAGCAGGAGGCGAGCAGGGGAGAGCAGGAGCTGGGGCTGCGGTCCAGGGGGCCCGTGGAGCTTGCGCGCTCACGCGCCTACGCGAAAGCCGGGCGATGGTGGCGCTGACGACGTACGCGACAAGGATGCTGCGTTGCTTGCGTGCGTGCCTTGCTCTGGTGGTAAGGGCTCTGGCTACTTGCCTGGTAGAAGGAAAAAGAGGAGCAGAGGCAGCAGAGACATTCATGGTGCCGCAGAGATGATGCGACGAAGCTGGCAGATGGACGGTGGCGTTTAGCGGGGGCGAGGGCACGACAGAGCCATGTGCTCCCATTAAAATTCAGACAAGACGCTAGCGAGGGAGAGGAAAGAGTGAAGGACAGTAGCGCAGGCAAACAGCCGCAGCGCGACGGGACAGCGAAGGCAGCCAGCTCATCCGTGGTTAGGTGGGTCGTACGGTGAACGGAGCACCCCGTCGGACAGACGGCTGGCAGGCAGTGCACGCGGCGTCCGTAGGCCGAGCCGTACGACGGTCAGTAGTGATGCGCACGAATTTTTAAGAGACGCAAAAACCGCGGATTAGCTCATACCCCCATACCAAGCCATGGAACAAAATATTAGGGTGCTATGTAATTATTTTTGCGCAAAACAAATCGCCATAATAACACTTTAAAATATAATTTTTTATTTTTATCGTTGACGCGAGAAGCTGGTTTTTAATTTTTAAATTCGACTTCGAGCTGGCAAAAACCCTAGTTAGCAATATTTGTTCTCCAAAACCAAAATTGCATTTTTATCTACTAAACTTACACTTCAAACTTTTATCTAAGTATGAATTACAAGCTATATTTTATTTGGTTTATAAGAATTATTTTCACGCTTAATCCCATAGAACAAACCATCCGCTACCTATTTGCTAGATTTGTTGATCGACATTCCTAAATATCTTTATGCACTGAGTAATTTAACTTGGACGTTTATTTGAGTCCACAAAACTGAGTCACACAGGATTCGCTTAACGCTTCAAGTACGTTTTAAATCAAAATTCCAAGAAACTCGCTTCGAAAATTTTTCTTAGACCTAAATCTCGATGTTAAACGAGCTCGTAACACCAGAGATGTTACAATATTACAAGACGAAGGGAAGAGAGTAGTCACCAAGGGGTGACTAAAGGGGACTAAAGAGCAAAAATACACCCATGCCCTTCATTATTATGGCAACAGCAAAGATCCTAGACAACTAATAGGAACGTTTCGGCCTTTTTCAATAACTTTAGTCCATTTTTAGTCACGTAAACCAGACACCCTGCCCAACGGGCCTTCAGTCGGTGTATTTGACTAAGGGCACGTTTAGTTCGCGAAAATTTTTGGGTTTGGCTACTGTAGCACTTTCGTTTGTATTTAGCATTTAGTGTCTAATTATGGACTAATTAGGTTCGAAAGTTTCGTCTCGCGATTTCTCACCCAATTATGCAATTAGTTTTTTTTCGTCTATATTTAATACTCCATGCATACGTCCAAAAATTCGATGTGATGAACAAAAATCAAAATTTTTTGGAACTAAGAGCATCTCCAAGAGTTTGCTAAAACTCACTTGCCAAATCTTGTGATTTGGCAAGTTGCTAAAACATATGGCAAGTGAAATTTTGTAGTCTCTCCAATAGTTTGCCATATGGGCTTGCCAAAACTTAAAAAGTAGGCCCACTTCCAAACCTCCGTCAACTAATTTTGTTCGACGCTTCACATGGCCGCCCACGACACTCCTCGCTTTGGCGCCGCGACTCCTCGCTGGCTTGCGCCGCCACACACATCGCCGCTTCCTGCAGCCGCCCAAATCTCATCCTCCTTTGCCCCCAACATCGATCTCTCATCCGGCCGGCAATCCTGTTCATCGAGCCAGCGAGTCCAAGGCATGCCGCCATCTCCTCCAAGACCTCGGTGATGTTCCCATCGGTTCAAGCATCCAATGATCTAGGTTATCGTATTGCAATTTCTATATTCTTTAGTTTCTTGCAATATCTTGAGGAAAGTTCCCATCCAATGATCTAGGTTATACGAATTCGGTATTTTTTGTTAGTAAGGAATCATGTCTAGGAAGAGATCCCTTTTTCGAAGACAGGTTGGGTGATTCAACATCCGATGATGATTTTGACATGTTATCGGTCTTTGTAATTGTGGACTCCTTTGCCAATGCCAAAAAAAAAACACGGTGGCTCTGTCGAAGGCCATAGAGTTCTTCACCGTGATAGAGAAGGCGGCCATGAGAGGTTGTTTCAAGATTACATGGCGGAGAATCCAACATATGGCCCTGAAATATTTCGTCGAAGGTTGTTCTTATTTCACTTAAGTTGATTTGTTGTATGTGATTAAATTTTATTGGAGTTCTAAAAGTTTAGTTTTGTTTTCTTCAGGTACAGGATGTCTAGAGAGCTTTTCGTACGCATCATGAATGCAGTTGAAGCATACGATGATTATTTTGTGCAGAAAAGGAACGCGGCTAATGTACTTGGATTGAGTTGCCTGCAAAAAGTCACTGCAGCAATGCGTATGATCACTTATGGCGTTCCCGCTGATGCGACAGATGAGTACGTTCGCATTGGCGAAAGTACTGCACTAGAGAGCTTACGGAGGTTTGTTACTGCAATTGATGAAATATTTGGAGAAGAATACCTCAGATATCCCAATGAGGCGGACACAGCACGCTTACTTGCAATGGGTGAGCAACAAGGCTTTCTAGGGATGCTAGGGTCCATAGATTGTATGCATTGGGCGTGGAAGAACTGTCCATACGATAAACAGGGTCAGTACAAGGGGAAAGAGGAGAAGCCCACTATCATTTTGGAGGCTGTTGCTTCGAACGACCTTTGGATATGGCACGCCTTTTTTGGAATGCCCGGCTCTCATAATGATATCAATGTTCTTCATAGGTCTCCGTTGTTTGATAACTTGGCAGAAGGAAAAGCTCCAGAAGTCAATTTTTCTGTTAATGGCCATGATTATACAATGGGCTATTATCTTGCAGATGGCATATATCCCACATGGGCTACTTTAGTCAAGTCGATCACTAAACCTATGGGGAACAAGAGACAATATTTTGCTAAAGCGCAAGAAGCGACCCGGGGAAGATAGTCGAGAGAGCTTTTGGGTTTCTTGGTCTAGGTTTGCAATTGTTCGAGGGTCAGCTCGCTTTTGGGACATAGAGACATTAACAAAGATCATGAGAGCTTGTGTGATCATGCACAACATGATTGTGGAAGATGAAGGATTCGTTGTCGACCCAAATGAGCGTTTTGATTACGGTGGTGAAAATGTCGAACCCGAGCATGACAAGCCTACCCGTACACTTGAAGAATACATTGAAGCGCACTGAGAAAGATCGGGGAGAAGCAAACACATGTTCAAGCTGAAAGAAGACCTCATCGAGCACCTGTGGAAAAATCACCCAGATTTATATAAATGAATTTTGACATGAGATGTAATTTTCATGGCTTAATTTGTTCAGAGAACCTTTACATTGGCGAGCAGCAGCATAGCACACGCACATAAAATGAAGAGGCACATAAACTAATTCAACACAAGTGCAAATAACTTGAACTCCAAAGAAGCTTAAATAAATTTCATAATGGTTCAACAGTAACAACTGAAGTGACACAGTGCTGGATAACTAAACTGAATTTAATTTTCCTCCATCTTCTCCATAATCATCTTCTGCTTCTTCTCAACCCATGCACGCTGGGTCGGGGTGAGGGACGACATGTCTGCTAACATAATATCTTTTTCCTCTTTCAGTAGCTTCGCTTCTGCTTTTTTTTCTTCACTTGCAACCCGTTTCTTCTCTAGCTCTAGAGCAGCCTTCTCTACCTCTAGTGAAGCCATGAACCTTGCTTCTTTGGCCTTCTCCAAAACCTCCCTCTTTGCCATCATCTTGTCCAAAGCTTCCATGCAAGCCTCGCCACCACCACGCTTCATATTTGCTTTTACCTTCTTTATCCCATCTGACCTTTTCTTTGGTAAGGTTTGTTCAGCTTCAGCTTCTATGAGAGCATCATTATGTGTGGCATCATTATGTGTGCCATCATCATATGTGGCTCCTTCATCCCTCGGCCTGGAACTCTTCTGTTTTTTCTTGCTTGCTTGCTTCTCTTTCTCCACCTCAACTAGTTCTATCATCTTCGATTTCCACTTGTCTTCCCCCTTCAATATTTTCCAACAGTGTAAAAGACCAAAAGTTTTGTCGTCCTTGTCCCATTCCACATACAATTTTTTTGCTTCAATAATCTGTAAAGGGATATTGTCAGTGCATATATCATTTATAAAAAACCAAATTAAAGTAAAACAACACATGTTTGCATACCTTGTCATCAATAGTTAACCCACTTTGATTCCTACGTAGAATGGCCTCATAGCATGAACAAAACTTGTTCACTTGCAATTGAATTGTCAGCCACCTATGCATAATACTGCTCACTGTCCTCTCATCAGGAGTTTCCTTGTGTTCCTCATAATAGGCATGAATTCATCCCCAAAAAGATGAACGAGTTTGATTGGCACCGTGAATGGGATCTTTGCTTACATTCAACCAGCCCGAGCATATAATTTCATCTTCCTGCCAATGGAAATTCTTTTTCCTCTTGGCTGCTCCTGGCTTTGTACTGCGGCTAACTTGCAGTTCGTCATGAGGTTGAGTGTCTTGAGTTAATCCAATGTCCATGTCTTCCAAACCAGCACCAGCTTCAACTTCTCCAAGAATGTTCGACAAGAAATTTGGGTCATCTACTTGCATCTCCATTCCTATAAAAAAAATACAACTACCACTAATTAACAAGAAGAACTAGGTTGCTGTTTTGTTTCAGTACAAAAAATACAAATCAAGGCATGAATGGTAGGTGAATCTACCACTACCACATATGAAACCTAGCACGCAACAAAAATCAACCCTAGCAGAATCATTCAAGGCATATGAACCATCATCGCTGAATCCAATCAAGGCATATGAACCATCATCGCTGAACCCAATCAAGGCATATGAACCCTAGGGGAACCAAATCAAGGCATGGAGTTGGACTGAGATTAGATCAAGGATGACGTACCTCAGGATCGGGAGTAGGGCGGCCACCGCGACTGTGTCTGTTCGAGTCCAGGAGGCACTTCGCGATGGGATCTGGATCCAGTCCTCGCGAGGAAGACGCCGGCGCAGCTGGCTCTTCGAGTCGCGCCAGGGATATATGAAGCGGTACGAGGCCTGGGTGGCGAGGGAAACGCAGGGTGAAAGTTCCATCTGCGCGCGGGAGAGGAGGCGGGGCCGGCAATTCACGCGATGGCAACGCGATGGCAAGTCCCCTACCGCGCGCAAATATGCGCGTGAACGACCGGTGGATGGCAAGTTGGGAAAATTTGCCAAGCCATATGCCAAACTGTTGGAGTTTGATTTTTCTAGTTTTGCCAAAAAACCAAGGATAGCAAGTGGTTTTGGCAAATTCTTGGAGATGCTCTAAACGCACCCTAACAACTCAAACCTTTGAATCTTCTATAGTACTTCTTAATAAATATCCAGTTACTGGGGTTGCCGTCAGGAAACAGGAACCCCGAGCGGCGGCGGGGAGGAGAAGAACCCAGACGCAGTCAGGCAGACGCCATCACCGCCACCCCTCGCCTAATAACGGGCTCCTCCCCACCCCGACCCCCGCCCACGCCATGCGTCCGGGCGGCCTGCCGACCCACGCCGCCGCCGCGGCGCAGCAGCAGCCGCCCCCGCTCCCTGAGCTAGAGCACGGGCGTCGCCACCACCCCATGCCAATGCCGGGCAAGTCTGTCATCGTCCTCGTCTTCCTCGTCACGCTGCTCATCGTCTACGACTCCGCCGTGTGGAATGCTACGACGGCCGGCATGCCGTAGCTCACTCGGCCGTGCCACCACGCTCCAGCATGCGGACCTGGAGCTCCCCGGCGACGGCCTCACCGGCGACGGCGCCTCCGGCCGGCGAGCAGGCTAGCCGGCACCACCGCAGCCAGAAGCACCTGGTGCACTGGATCATCGGCTTCGTGGTGGGGTCCGTCGCCGGCGTCATCTCTGGGCTGGCGCTCAAATCCATCCTGAAGAAGATCAAGAAGTTGATCAGGCGGCGGTCGGTCGACGGCGTCATGACCTTTAGCACGAAGCTGATCAGGCGGCCGGAGCAACCGGCGTTCCTGAAGAAATGGTGAAAGTGACCACTCGACCAAACACACACAGATTGATTTCCTTAATCCAGTCGCGTCGAAACAGCGAGGTCGACCTGAAAGTAACGTACGTCGCCCCAACCTTCCATTCCTTGGCATGGAAGAACCGCATATATGTATATATATACATTCAGGTGCTATATATATGATGCATTTCGAGTTTATATATATCCTGCAGGTACACTAATAATAATAAAAAGGGCAGCGAATTTTGAAAAAAAACGACATTTTTTAAAGTAGGAAAACTCAATTCTAGCTTTGAGTTTTCCTCCGTGACCAAACGCTAGACTTGATGTATATCTTTGGTGGAGTTTACTATCAGCTATACTTAATCTCTTTTGTTAGTCAAAAAAGAGTTTTTTTTTACACAATAGTCATAAAAGAGTTATGCAATGTATCTAGAAAAGTCAAAACGTCTTATAATTTAAAACATAGGTAGTACGAAATAGGAAAAATACTAGATTATTTCGATTTATTCATAAATTTGGTGTTTAGTACAAGCCTCTATTTGTAAGATTGTCTAATTAAATGTAATTACCAAGCTGGAACCAAAGATTCGGTTGGAGTATATTGCATTTCTATCCCACTACTAAAAAATGATTTTGCAAAGTGGTGCCCTTTTATTAACCGAGGCGGTCGCAAAAACCCACCCCTCGTAAAATGCCCGACGATTAACAGAGGTGGTTGTTTTATTTACCGAGACACAAAAAAAATAAACGCCTCGCAAAATCAATTTACGAAGGCGGTTAGAAAATACTCGCCTCGCAAAATCGATTAACTGAGGCAGGCCCTTTTAAGAGGTCCGCCTCCAAAAATCAGGCCATTTTCAAAAGCGGACCTCTTAAATTGGCCCGCCTCGGTTAATATGGCTGAGCCCACTAACTGTTGGCGAAACCCATATAAGCCCAGTTTCTGACTATGAGTATATATACCGAGGAAACCGTACCCTAGCCCACTCTTCCAGTCCCTCCTCTCTCCCAGCCGTGCCCCTTTCCCATTTCTCTAAGTCGCGCTCCTCTCCCACGGCGCCCCTCTACCCCACCGCTTCCCCATGGCACCCCTCTCCCCCACGACACGCCCCTCTCCCTGAGCATGAGTGGCGGCGGCGCCCGACGGCGGCTACCCCACGGCGTCCCTCTCTCCCACGGCTCCCCCACAGCGGCGGCTCCCCCACGGCGGCGCCCCTCTCCCCCATGGTGCGCCCGCAACTGGCAGCGGCCACCAAGGCAGCGGATCCTCCCTCTCCCTCGAGGTCTGGCGGCAGATCTGGCCGAGGAGCTCCTCCGGCTGTGGATCTGGCCGAGGCGCTCTCTTTCCCTCTCCTTCGTGGTGGCGGTGCGGCGGTCCCAGCGAGGAGGTGCTCCGATCCGGCGAGCGGGTGCCCAGGTCTGGCGAACGGCTACGGCGGCGTGCTGATCGGTGGCGTCTGGATGGGCTCGGTGGGCATGTGGATGGGCTCGCTGGGCTTGTCCACGGGTTTTCTTTTTTATTTCTTATTTGATTTACCGAGGCGGGCATTTGAACCGCCTTGAAAAAGATCCATTTACCATAACATTTGGACCGAGGCGGTTGCGATGCCCACTGATGTTTCCTACTGACTACAACGTCCAGAATCAGAATTCGAACACATCAACTGAAGTCATTGATCACCACTATTGTAATATATATATATACCGCTATTGTAATATAGATCCACGCCAACTAAAATTCTGTGGTGACAGTCAATATTGTCCTGCCGATAGAGGCCACAAGATAAAAGAAAACACTCGAGTACAACAGTTAGCATTTATAGATGCATGCATTCTGTTTGCGATATTTATCTTTGATGATGAAGGGTTTTTGAAGATGCATTGATTCTTAAGTCTATACATTATTACAGTTAGCCGAGGATCATTGGTTATGCGCTGCTTCTATCAGGAGTCATGGGCGTGTGAGATTTGGGGGTACATATAGGTCCCAATGTCGGAAATCATCGATCTGAATCAGTGGTGTAGCGGCCCAATAAGACTTATGGGCCTTGAACAGCAGAGCAATTTTGTAGATTGATGTGGGCCAAAGAGGCCCTTTACTCTACATGCCCACGCTGAACTCCTTCATTTTCATTTCTTTGCCTCTGCAGATAAATAGTAGGCAAAATTTGCTCCTCGACCCTGAAAGTGACCTCCCTTTACTGCTGGACACCGAAACTGGAGCGATTTGCTAGAAGACACTTTGATTCTTGGTAAATTTGCTGATGCACACTCCGTCCAATAAAATATTCATTTCTGGCTTTCGAGGAGAGAGAAGCGCGATGAAATGTCCTTTTTGTCCCTACCCCTTTCTTCCTCCCCTCGCCGAGCCCTCTACTCTCACTTCCCTCTCACCTCTGTTTCCTCTGTTCAGATCCGTCGGCAGCCATTGTTGCCCATGGAGCTCAACTGGCCTCTCCGTGACCTCAAGCACGTGCCGGTGAGCACCTCTAGCCCCTCCACCTTTCCCGTCAACCAATTCTGCCTCCTTCCATCCCCCACCGAGCTATCACCGCGCGCCACCATGGCCGCCGCCAAGCACTTACTGCTGGCCACGGTGAGGCCACCCCCTCCAACCCAAGGCCATGGCTACACTACTGAATTCAGGTTCTTTGCCGAGTGCCTGAGGCACTCGGCAAAGGCCAAATTGCACTCGACAAAGCCTTTGCCGAGTGCGGCACTCGGCAAAGACCACACGGCAAAAATCTGATCGGCAAAGCCCTCTTTGCCGAGTGTCTTTATCGGGCACTTTCGGCAAAGGTTTTCTTGAGTGCCCAGGGACACTCGGCAAAGAAAAGCGACAAATCCACGGGCGGCGGTTCCGTTGATTTGGTCACTTTGCCGAAAGTGCCAACCCCGCAGAGCACTCGGCAAAGATTTTTTAATTTTTTTAAAATTTCTTTGCGAGTGCCAACCCGTGAGGCACTCGGCAAAGATTTTTTATTTTTTAAAAATTTCTTTGCGAGTGCCAACAACATCAAAGGCACTCGGCAAAGAGCTTTAATTTTTTTAAAAATTTCTTTGCGAGTGCCAACCATATAGGCACTTTCGGCAAAGTGTTTTTATTTTAAAAAAAAATTCTTTGCGAAGTGCTAGCCATCGGGCACTCGGCAAGCGTTTTCATTTTTTTTTAAAAAATTTCTTTGCAGTGTCAACCCGAAGGCACTTTCGGCAAAGATTTTTTATTTTTTTAAAAATTTCTTTGCGAGTGCCCCCATGGTGGCACTCGGCAAAGTTTGATTTTTTTTTAAAAAATTCTTTGCAAAATGAAGTGCATTATTGGTCTGTATAGAGATTGTAGGCACAAATTAAAAAGAAGAGATCCGAACAAAATGAAGTGCAAAATACTGTTAGGTTTTGCCTGATCTAGAAGCTCTCGCCTTGTATTACAAACAATTTCGCCAGCAAGGAAACATGATAGATTGCAAATAAACTTCTATCTAGAGACTACTTGTAGATAATTTAAAAGGACTAACGTAATCCTAGAGTCGGACTGAAGTAATTCTTTTTGAGGCAACATGCAGAAAATGGCTTCATTTCAGACAGGTTTAAGTTGCATCATTGTCAGACATCAATATATACATGCTATCATTTGTCGAACAGCAACAGTTTTGGTCATAGGATTAACATGGTAAGATAACAAGTTTAGCATATATAGATGCTATCATTTGGCAAGAAACTACGACTGTTGGTGACTATGACTGGAAGCAGGTAGAGGTTAAAATGGTACATGAGACTCCAACACGTATATCATTTGGCAAAAAACTATGACAAAAGATCCAATGGTCATTTAACTGAAAATCATCAAATATATGAGAATGTCAGATACAAAAAGTTGAGCATCTCAAGCATATGTCCCTGCCTTATATCACTCAAACAGTGAGGAAATTTCGGATGCGGCAAGTTGACAACATGGTAGCTTTCAAATCAAATAGTACATGTAGAAATCATTGGCCGTGTCACATGGAGGTGATGCAACGCATAGGATGACTACTTTCAGGTTTCAACATGCACACATAACCAGGGGCGGATTCAGAACGGGGCTGCGACCCGGGCTAAGCTGCTGATTCACGTTCAAAACAGTCTGATCTTGCTTCCTAGGCCTTCTTTTGTCTAATTAAGATCATAGTTTTTTAGGCTAAATACCACATATGTTAAAGGGGCTACATGGACTCGTCCCGGGCTGCAGCCCGGGCAGCCCGGGCCCTGGATCCGCCCCTGCACATAACATAGAACAAATGAAAACAACCAACTGCGACATAATTGACTTTGTGATGTTACGTGCAATAAAACTCCACTGGACCTACAACTATTACATGCTGCAACCCTGTCCTTGAGATGTTCAAATCTAAGAAAGAGATTTGAATCACAATCTCACAACTTCACGGGAATAATGAGCCATTAACTCTAATTTCACAAAATCTAAGAGAAGTGGCGGCCTTGCTAGCTTCAAAGCAACGTACATGTGTGTGTGGACTTGAATTACAAAAAAGCAAGCAGACCAGTAACACAATACAACTCTCATCAGAAAAAGGGAATAGGAACTCACTGCATTTTTCCTTGCTGAGTTTAGAAAATCAATAAGCAAAGGATCCCCACTCAGAAGTTTTGGAACTAACTCCACAAATATCCTGTAATCAGTGTAGTAAAATTTTATTAAACAGAATGTCATGTATTATTTGTTTAGACAGAACACAAAAGAATAAAGAAACTCCCATAACCTTGAGCTCCCAGCAGCATTCGATATTATGTCATAGATAATTGATGGATGAATCCCAGCTCGAACACCAAGATACATTGCTTCAATAGACGCAACAAAATGAATGCCCTCCAGCAAATCATTCACCACCCTAAGTTTGCTGCAGACATAAAAAAACATATATATTTTAAACTGACGTATGATAGTTGCAGTAATTGGTATGTATACTTTTTTTACTGTTGATGTTCCAACTTCCATAGCATGGCTATAGGGTAGTATTGGACTGTTTGTCCTTCTATAATGATATGATATGTAATTATCCTTACGTATTCTTGAAATAGAACACTATTTACTATTGTCAGAAAGGGTGAGCAAACCTGCTAGTGCAAAATTCACCTTCAGCAAAGTAAACGGTATTGTATAGGCCTGAAAATATCACCAGGTAAATTAGAATTTCAACATTATTGCACCTTAGCACATCATAAGATATAAAAGAAGATGGAAATATTGGCAAAGAAATTTACACATCTTTTGACTTACTATGGAAAAACTTTCTAGCTCTTTCTGATACGTCCTGTCTCCCAGATGCAACAATCTGGCATATACAAGGTAAGTAGTGATAAGAGAAAGGGAAAATGAAGATGCATGGTACTCAGATTCCCAATATGTTGTACTGCTTACAATAATCTGTTGCTTTAGTTCATCAGATAAACCACTGAAAATGTATCCATCCAGAAGGAAGACATCCTTCTCATCTGTATGGTAAATTAAGTTAGCTAAGTACCACCAAGCTAAGGTCCTCCATATGACCATGTGGATCTCAATGGGTATATAAGTGGTAGCATTCAAATTATCAAATATACTCACTCGAAAAATGAAGTCACATTTAAGCTCAAACAATTAAACATGAAAATTTGATGGTTTAAATGTGCTGATTTGCTATGTCTATAACAAAAAAAATGCACATAGAGCTCTTGGCACAATAGCCTTTCCAGGCTGGGAAGCGAATGGCATGGCATGCAAAGTATTTTACCTGTAAACTTCTGCTCCAGCTTCTCCAACTGGCTAAGCAGCAATGTCGAACGAATCAATACAATAGAACCCGCGCGTAATCCTAAAATGCTCAAATAAACCTTATATATAAATTATACAGTACCTTGTAGAGTAGATAGTTAAGGTGGCCAGAAGCAGTCAACGGAATAACTCAAGCACACGTACCTTTCGCGATACCCTCAACTCCGAAGAACAACTCGTCAACCCCACCAGCATCGCTTAGCACGACGACCAGCGCAGCATCTGCAGTTAACGAAAGACGCGATCAGCTTAGCCCGATGACCCGATCACCTCGGCATTCCAACAAATGCATCGCAGCCACGCAGGAAGCATAGCAGCGTACTCCACAGTTGCACACCCACCAACCCAAATAGGCACGCATCCCGCACAACCGATCGAATCGAGCCAGTACTGGAGCCCAAGAGCGCAGGCTCACCTCGCGCGGCTTCCACTGGGCTCGCGTACCGGAGGAGGTCATTCAACTCCGCGAGCCGCCGCAGATGGCCTCGGGGACGAACGAGCGGACGCGGGCGCCGGAGCGGAGGAAGGAGGCGGCGAGCTCGACGCTGAGCTCGTCCGCGCCGATGAAGGCCACGGGGGCCGCGGTCGACGACATCGCACCGTCTCCCGCCGGCGACGACTCGAAGCAGAACCGAGACCGAGAGCAGAGCAGAGCAAAGCGGATCGAGTGAGCAAGCGAAGTTGGCCGGCGGTGTTAAATTCCCTCATTTGCCGAGTGCTCCGATCCGGCACTCGACAAAGGTTTTTTTAATTTTTTTAACCGTCTCTTTGTCGAGTGCGACCTGTGATCTGGCACTCGGCAAAGAAGATTTTTTTGCCGAGTGTCCTAGATCTGGCACTCGGCAAAGTTTATTTTTTTTAAAAAATACTTTGCCGAGTGCCCCTGACACGGCACTCGACAGAGAGGATTTTTTTTTTTAAAATTCAAAACCCTCTTTGCGAGTGCCTTATTCTTGACACTTTCGGCAAAAGACCCTTTGTCGAGTGCCATTTTTGATGCGGCACTTTCGGCAAAAGTTTATTTTTTTGTTTTTGGCCTCCAAATCATTTTGTGCAGCCCTTTTAAAGCACCGGGAACTCCTAGTTAGAATTTGGGTATTTTTGTGGTTTTTGATATATTTAGTTACTTTATCACGTTACTTGAATTTTTTGAAAAATATAATTTTGACTTCGCTTGCTTTTTATAGAACGAATAATGCAATTTAATGATTCAAAATTGATGGTCATATTCTGAAGTGTAGTGTCCTAAATTATCGAGCGATCCCGAAATTTGGACATCTTGTTCACGAAACATGACCAAGCGAACTTGACCATGAAGTGTTTTTAAATTCTATAAAAAGCAAGCGAAGTCGAAAATCATGAAACTTGTTGAGATGTCGTGATATTATATGGAGGCTATGATAAAAAATTCAAGGAGATTAAATAAAGTAACGTTGTCACGTCGATGCCAAACGAACATCTACCCAAAGATAACTAGGATATTCCATATAGACGTGCTTTATAAAAGGGTCAAAATCTTAAAAAATTTGGAGGCCAAAAACAAAAAAAAAAATTTTGCCGAAAAGTCTTGAGTCATGGCACTCGACAAAAAAGGGTCTTTGCCGAAAGTGTCAAGAATAAGGCACTCGGCAAAGAGGGTTTTGAATTTTTAAAAATTCCTCTTTGCCGAAAGTGCCTTCACGGGGCACTTCGGCAAAGACATTTTTTACAAAAAATAAATCTTTGCCGAGTGCCGTGTCGGGGCACTCGGCAAAGTATTTCCACAAAAAAAACTTTGCCGAGTGCCAGATCTGGGACACTCGGCAAAGAAATTCCAAAAAAAAATTAAATCTTTGCCGAGTGCCAGATCTGAGACACTCGGCAAAGAAAATTTTTAAAAAAAAATAAATCTTTGCCGAGTGCCTAACAGTAGGCACTCGGCAAAGAAGGACGTGGCCGAACACCGTTATGCGTGACAGCCTATGCCGAGTGCCGAGCTTTTGCCGAGAGTTTGGCACTCGGCAAAGAAGTCCTTTGCCGAGTGCTCTTCTCTGCCGAGTGCCCGGCACTCGGCGAAGAACTCTTTGCCGAGTGCAATTCTTTGCCGAGTGCGGCACTCGGCAAAGAAGGTCTTTGCCGAGTGTCCGATTTTTGACACTCGGCAAAGAATTTTGCACTCGGCAAAGTCTCTGTTTTCAGTAGTGCTAGCATCCCTAACGTTGGTGCCTCACGTCGGGGAGGTGGCTGGCCATGGTGCACTGCCGCGGCGGGGCTGCGACTGTCCTCCTGCATGCTCGCCGGCGGTGGCGGCCGGTAGCGCGGTGCGCATGCCCATGCCTCCTGTGTGCTCGTCCTACGACCTTTTCATCCTGCACGGCAGCAGGGCCCGCCACACCCACGGCCTGTGCGGCGGCTAGCCGGCCGAGCGGGGGAGAAGAACTGGGAGCGAGGAAGAAGAAAGGGGCAAGGGCAAAAATGATATTTCACCGTGCTTATCTCTCATCGAAAGCCAAAAATAAATATTTTGGCAAATTTGCCCAGAATGAAAGTGTCTTTTAGCAAATCGCTTCATTTCAGTGTCCGGCAGCAAAGGATCCAAAAGCAAATTTTGCCTAAATAGTACGGTATGCTAGTATATCCTGACTTGCTGAGGGCCGGAATGTTCACTTCGCCGGCCTTGCAGCTGACGAAACACGTCACCAATCCTTCGTTCGCTACCTTTGTACGTACGAAACGAATGAAACAATGCAAACGCCGTGCCGTAGCAGAATTTAGAACCTGAAGAGATTTGCAAGCAGGCACAAGCACAAGTAAGTAATCCGTCACACAAGTCACAGACCATGCATCTCACTTGCGGCGTCGTGCAGAGCTGAGTGAGTAGACTCACGAGCTCGAGTAACGTAGAGAGACTGGTCACTATAGTGAGTTTGCCATGGAGCGAGGTAACTACTAACTAGGAATGATCGCAATTTGCCAGATGAGTTGCATTGGTCACTGCATGAATAAAGGTCTCTCGACGATAGAGAGCCTAGAACGTGTATATGGATGGTGCTGCGTTTATTTATTTGCATGTGTGTGTTATTACAAATAATTGGCGAAAGTGACCACTCGACCAAACAGATTAATTTCCTGAATCGAGTCTTGTCGACGAAGCAGCGACGTCGACCTCAAAGTGACGTACGTGTACGTCGCCGCGTTGGCTGCTTCCATTCCTTGGCAGGGAAGAACCGCGTATCTATATAATATGCCGTCAGGTGGCATGATGCATTTCGAGTTTTTTATCCGGGTACTAATAGAAAAAAAGAAGAAGTTTTGGGAAAACCGCTTTTTGGGAAAAAAAAAACGAGTTTGATGACGTACGTCTTTTTTTTTTACAGGTCGATCTCAGAGGAAAACTCAATTCTACTTGCTTTGAGTTTTCCTTCGTGACCAAGGCTTGACTTGATATGTATGTATATCTTTGGTGGAGTTATCAGCTATAGTTGATCTTTTCTTTTGTCAGTCCTAAAAAGGGTTTTACTGATACATAATTAAAACAATGTAAAGTCTACAAAAGTCAAATTTGGAGTGGAGGGAGTACAAAATAGGAAAAATACAAGATTAATTCAACTTATGCATAAATTCGGGGCTTAGTACAAAGACAGCATCTAATTTGTAAGATTGTCCAAATTATAATTAAATATATTTACCTAGCTCCAACAAACATTTGGCAGTAATATATATAATATGTAGCTACCCGAAAACGACCGATGTTTCCTACTGACGGCAACATCCAAAATCAGAATTGGTACGCATCAACTGAAGTCATGGATCACCACTCCATCTTGAAATATAGTGCATTAGTAATATAGTGCATTATAGTAATTAGTAAAGACATCCGTTTCTGTGATCTTATTACATACATGCTCCCTCCATCCTGAAATATAGTGAATTATAGAATCTGTACTAAAATATATTGCGGATTTGGTAAAGTTCGTTAAAAAGGAATTCATAATTTGAGGAGAAACTCCTTAATTGGGTTTAATTCATGGGTACATATGTCATATTGAGTATTTCTTTAAGTTAAATTTTTTTAGAATGCATTGTATTACAGGACGGAGGGAGTATATATACTACCACAAATTGTGACGTAACATAACATCATTATATTTTTTGGAAAAAGAAGAAGAAAAAACATAAGAATCCCCACGTGAAAATGGTACTTTTTCGTCACTGAAAGCATTCTCTCACAGCACTATATGATTATTATATATAGTTCCCGTAACTTAATTTGCATTGCCCACAAATATAGGGAGATACTGTTCTGCTGTCATGCATGCTGTTCTGCTGGGCGCTTGCTTCTTTACGCTGTAAAAGCCAAGAATCCCACATCGATGCATCCGATCTCTCTCACGCGTTCGGGAACCCTGGCATGAACACCGAAAGTTCTCAAAGCCGCACCGACAAGAATTTCAGTCCAGTCTGAATATGAATGCGTGTGCTGTCTTGACAAAAATAGATGGGCGACGCTTGTTGTTTCCTCCGAACGAAGGCTGTGCTCTGACTCTGAACCATAGTATCTTTACTTTACTGGATACAGAACGTCGGCAGGACCGCGAGAGCATCGATGAGCTTGCAGTGCGGTGCAGGATCGATTTTCTCTGCCATGCCACTTTTTTTTTTCGCGACCGTTTTTCATTAAAAGAAGTGAATTCTGCCATGCCATCCGGACCTGGTGACGGAATTGCGACGACAGCTAGCTATAGGAGGACCGATTTTCTCTGCTCGTCCACTTTGATTTTGCCACCCAACGAAGGCGAAGAGCCTATCCAATAATCCACGCGTTTTAGGCACTTATTTTGTCCAAGGAATCGGTTTCTACCGTTTCGAGGAAGGTCATGCATGCATGGGTGCAATTTTTCTCACACGTAGAGAACGGACTTTTAGTTCTAGGCTTTAGTCCTAGTCACTTTTGAGCATGAGACTAAAGACTGGATTAGTCCTGATTGGAGCTACCAACCGGAAGTAAGTCTCCTGCCCAACGGCTTGAGCCGTAGCTTTTGCAGGATGAGAGCAGGAAGGGACCTTTAATCCTGGTTGGTGGCTCAAACCGGTACTAAAGGTCACCCTTCAGTCTCAGTTGAAGCTACCAGCCGTGACTAAACATTTAATCTCGGTTGGTAGCTCTAACTGGGACTAGAATTCTACCTGTAATCCGAGTTTATATCATAAACCGGGACTACATGTCCCGGCCTATATACTTTCTTCTTCTTCCTCCCCCAGCTTGAGCCATTTTAAGCTCTCTAACTGCTCTCTGTTCTTGCTCGTGGAAGGAGTTCATGCTTGCGGGGTGAAGACTTCATTCCTCCATTCTTCGGTTCTAAAGGTTACCAACTTCATCCTCCTATGTTTCATCACTAGCATGGCTCATTTCGTGGTCTAGAAATAGAGAAATTTTTAGTTTTTTAGATTGGGAATGATGGTAGATTTTTTTATTTATATACCAATTGAGCTCGAAATCACTTGATAGTTTGAATATGAAGATGAAGGAAGCTTATAGTAGTTCATCAAAACTCGTATGCACCTTTCATTACCTCATTTCATGGTCTAGAAATAGAGAAATTTTTGGTTTTCTAGATTGAGAATAATGGTGGATATTTTTTATTTATATGCCATTTGAGCTCAAAATCACTTGATAGCTTGCATATGTGTAGATGAAGGAATCTTATAGTAGCTCATCAAAACTAGTATGCACCTTTCGTTGCCTCATTTCATGGTTCAGAAATAGAGAAATATAAGTTTTTTTAGTACATAGCTCATTTAATTTCATGGTTCACAAAATGAGAAATTTATAGTAGTTGATGAAAATGAGTATAGAGAGTCGTAGATGACGACTGCTTCCGGGTCCTCGGCCACGCATGGGGTCCCTAAGCGACTGAGGCCGGACCTCCCTCTCATTGCGTGCGGCAAGTATGGACAGAAGACTGTGAGGGAGTACACTTGTCAAATCTAGCATGAAGGGGGGTATGAACGGGTAGTTTGACGTAGGTGAGTCTAGTGGGTTAGGTGTGGTGCACACTTGTCAAATCTAGCATTAGGTAGCTCCTAAAAAAGCCCATAGATCAATTGGAGCAAACTTCATTCATGTATGATTGAGAGTTGAAAGTGAATGGAGGGTCAAATGCTGACCGGACGCTGGTTCCGGTGTGACCGAACGCTGGCGCAGAGTCCGGTCAGTTCATTTGATCAAGGTGAAATTGTCTGGTGCGACCGGACACTGAGAGGTGAGCGACCGGACGCTGGGTGCGAGCGTCCGGTCGACTCCAGTAAGGTTCCAGAGTGGGAAAATCGTGACCGGACGCGTCCAGTCACAACTTTAACACTAGGTTACGGGGAGAACTGACCGGAGCTTTCGGTCACCCCGTAGAGGCACATAACGGTTCGTTTTGAACATGGGTGTATAAATACTTTCTTCATTCGTGTGAGGGGGTACTTTTGCTCATTCCAACAGCTGAGAAACACCCTTGAGAGTGCCAAGAAGAGCAAGGTTCTAGTGAGATGATTGAGATTTGAGAATCCAAGAGTGAGACCTCATTAGTGAAAGCAAGAGTAGCAAAGTGTGCATCCACCCTTCTTATTAGGCTTGTCGTGGACAAGTGAGAGTTCGTGCTTGTTACTCTTGGTGATCGCCATCACCTAGACGGCTTGGTGGTGATTGGAAGCTTGGTGATCATCCGGCAGAGCTTGTGGATGACCCAACTCAAGTTGTGAGCGGTTGTGGGTGATTCACCGCGATGAAGTGTCAAAGAATCAACCCGTAGAGAGCACTTGATCCTTACGTGGATCAAGGGGGAGCTACACCCTTGCACGGGTGCTCCAACGAGGACTAGTGGGGAGTGGTGACTCTCCGATACCTTGGCAAAATATCGCCGCGTTCCTCCTTCTCTCTTTACTTTGAGCATTTACTTTGAGCAATTCAATTCTTGTCTTTACATTCATAGAATTGCCATACTAGAGTAGGATTGGAACTTAGGTTGCAAGTTTTTTTGTGCGGTAGAACATTAGAAACACTTTCTAGGCACAAGGGGTGAAGTTCGGCTAACCGTAGGGTTTAATTATTGCAAAAAATTTTAAAATTAGCCCAATTCACCCCCCTTCTTGGGCATCTTAATCCTTTCAATTGGTATCGGAGCCTTGTGCTCACGTATTTAGACTTAACCGTCTAGAGGAAGATGTCTCACGGGGATGGTCCTCCTCCTATCTTTGAGGGGGATGATTTTCCATATTGGAAAATCTGCATGGAGGCGTATTTA